TCCCCTGGGCCTTCTGCCGGTCGGATTTGCAAGGAACAGTTGCTTAGCCTTCCTTTCTGGAGGCATTCGCCACACATAATTTTTTCCTAATTACTGGTTTGATAGAGTACGATAAATCATACATGGTGGAAGTATGTAAAAATAGCAGGCTAGAATTGTCGCCTTAAAGCCATACAGCAGTTGAATACGGTGACAAAGATTATGTTTTGCGTTCAGACAAAGCCTTTTATTGGAATGCAGCATGATGATATTGAATAAGCAAAAATAGGGATGTCTTTTTGAAAATTCCATAAGTTTAAACATGCGAATGATGCTATGAACATTCATGCCGACCTATTCAATGGTCTTCTCATAATTCATTTTAATCGTCATCATCTGTAAACACTTCTCCTTTCGGGTCGCAGAAGCAGACGTCCCAGACAGAGTTTCCATCGTTCCCTATGGAGTGCTGGAGTGTGTGCTTTTGCAGAAGACAACTGGAATCTCGAACAGACTCCTCTCAAATATTTCCACCCCGTTGATCTTAGCCGTCCTTTGGGCGTTCTGCCCGTTGGATTTTCAACACACAGTTGCGTAGTTTTCCTTTCTGGACGCATTTGCAATATTTCCAAGCCGTCGCAGCTGTGACTTCTCAATCTGGAGAAGCAAAGGCTGTAATCCCAGTCGGATGTCACTATTCCGGACCATGTCGAGAAGCGTAAGGCCAGCGACTCGTCTAAGAAAGCCCATTTCAGGAGCTTGTACCCGGGATCGAAGCTTTTCAGTGATGGTCCACCATTCATCGTTCTACACCCATTATGTGTTATTCGTTCTTCCGTTCTTACGTTCTTCATGCTCATGAGCAGGAAGACTCACACAGCTTCAGGAGTAGTTCGTATGCAAATAGTACCTGGAATTCCACTTAGGTTTGCATTTCGAAAATCCCTCTAAGGCGTAAGTTTGTACATTCACAATCCACAATCAGCTCCAGCAGGTTTTCTGAAATTATTGTCACCAAAATTTTTTTTCGCTATAGTGTAATTCAATACTTTAAAACTGAGCTGGAATAAACTTACATTTTTAACTAACGTCTGAAAATGGTT